GAGGCGGGGCGTGGCGGGGCGTGGCGGGGCGGTGCCCGACGCCGAGCTCGGGCGGGGCGCGGCGCAGAGCGCAGCGCGGCGGAGCGAGGCGAGGCGTGGCCGGGCGGGGTGGAGGCATGGGAGAGGGGGGCCGAGGCGAGGCGAACCAACCCGAGGCGAAGCGAAGCGGCGCGAAGCGAGGCGAGCCGAAGCCTGCCTTCAGTTGTGCTTCGGCCGTGCCGTGGCGTGCTCTCTGCGAGCGTGCCGACGCCGTCCTCGCCGCCGTGGCTCGCCGCGTGTCGCCGCGCTTCGCCGCGCTTGAGGCCGGAGCGTCGCCGAGCGTCGTGGACCTCGAGGAGCCCACCTGCCCGCCGGCGGCGTCCCCTACCGTGCCGCCCGCCGCCGCCATGGAGGCCGCCAACCCCAAGCCCATGGACATCTCCCTGCTCATCGAGGAGGTGCAGAAGCGGCCCGCGCTCTGGGACCAGAGCAACCAGCACCGCCACAACCGGGAGGTCCTCGACGTGCTGTGGGAGGAAGTGGCGAGGGTGTTCAACGCCGTGCGTGAGTGTCCCTGCTGCTGCAGCTAGAACTTCATCCAACTTCAACAAACCACTTTATTCGGCCTCAGACTATAACGATTCTGTTTCTCCATGCTTCCGCAGCCGACGAGATCCGGAAGAAGTGGAAGGGACTCCGCGACACGTTCCGCAAGGAGCTGCGCAAGTACCCCAACGGCTTCGACGGCGACCTGCCCGAGGACGAGTTCCCGCAGTGGGTGTTCTTCAAGCCGCTCTACTCCTTCCTCAAGGGGCAGATGAAGGCGCGCAAGAACGACGCGATGCAGCCCAACGGCTACCACTACGTGAACGTGGGCGGCAACTGGGTGCCCAAGGACGACGGCGACGAGGACACGGCCGAGGACCTGCTCGACCGCGCCGACCTGGAGCCCATCGTGGCCTGCGACACGCTGCGGGAGCTCGGTGAGTTTGGTGGGATAATAATGCTGGGATAATGTTCAGGAGCGAAATTGACAGGCTGCAAAGTGATTGTCAATCATTTAGTTTTGGGAAAATATGAGTTGTTATATTTCATGTGAGATCTATGGTTGAAGTTTGCGAAAGTCCGTCGCAGTATATACGTACACGCAAATGTGTTTGTTTTAGTTAAACCCACGTTTCGTTTCGGACAAATTTGTGCGCGAAACGGTTTCGTACTTACAAATGAATGCACATAAGTTTACGAATCAACACAAAAATGTGTGCAAAAATGTGATGTACAAACAGAAGTTACAAAAACCAGTTATAATGTGGTCTTTAATCAAGGTTCATTCATTCATTCATTCATTCATTCATTCATTCATTCATTCATTCATTCATTCATTCATTCATTCACTCACTCACTCACTCACTCATTCTTCCATCCATTCATTCGCTCGTTCGCTCGTTCATTCGTTTATTCATTCGTTCACTCATTCATTCGTTCGTTCGTTTGCAGGTGCTCGCGGGCTGAAGCGCGCCGCCACGGACGACCTCCTCGCGGACGACGAGGACTACCACTTCTTCTTGAGCCTGCTGCCGCACGTCCGCAAGCTGGAGCCGGTCCGCAAGCTGCAGATCCGGGCCCGGATCCAGGACATGATCTGCCGCGAGGTGTACGGCGACCCGGAGCTGCAGGGTGGCGTCGGCACGGTGGTGTCGGCGGCGTCGCCGTCGTCCGTGATCGTCTCGCAGTCGGACGTCGTCCTCTGCGACGTCAAACCTTTCGTGACGCAACTCTGAACTCAAGAGCGGGATAAACCGCCCGTTAAACTGAAAGGCCTGTAGTGACCTGAAGTCTGTAGTGACCTGTGGCCCAAGTGAAGCAAATAAGACTGATGACTATCTTGTTTCGCGCCTGCTTTGGGACCCATTCATTCAGTGATACGATGAATGACAGAGCAGGCTGCCGACACGAGAGCGTACCTGATTGTGAAGTACAACATATCTGCTAGATATCAGCGCTGTACTGTGTATATATCTTCGGATGTTTCTTATTTCATTCATTGTTCTGCGGTTCACTGTATGGAGAATCTCAAACTTCTGAAGAAGACAAACAGGAGGATCGGCCGGGGACAAATGTAAAACGGCATTTGTTCTTAGCTAAAGACGACCTCTTGTTCCCTATTTTTGTTACAAGTATTATTTTGTGATCTCTGTCTTATTGGATTAGATGTAAACTTTAGGAATCAACATCTCTGCCATTCACTATCTTGACCTGGATCCATACACCCCCACCTTACGTCTGTTGTAGAATCTGTCCACCCAACACAAGTCGGACCGGCGCCGCGCGGCCACTCTCATTTTGCTGACGACGCCGTTTGTGGGTGAACGACCTCGCACTTCTTTCTCTCTTTTTGCAATGTTGGCCGCAGGGCGGTGCGACGGAGACGCCAGCTCTTATTGAGGCTGCCTCAGATCCACATTTGAGAGGTTAGAATCGGGCCAAACCACCATGATGGTATGTATAACCATACGGAGTAGACGTTTACTCCGTGATGATACCCAGTCGGAAAGTGAGGTCGAATTATACACGTCAAAATCGATGGGTACGTCCAAAATTTGTCGAAACTGGGGACAGAAATCTATTGAAATGAGTTTAGTTTCTTTTAACTTCCGGTTTTGAAAGCCTGGACACTCCCACTCAGTATAAGCTCCATTTGGTGGCGCCGAACCAATTTCAGAAACACCCGCCGGCGAGGTACATCAAGTTAACGACTTTGCGCGGCGCGGTAATCACAATCGCGCGTGGCGCCCCCCCAACCTGGCGGCTGGAGACTCGCCTGTTCGACACTCGTTTTCGCATCCTCTTCCCGGATTCGATTCTTTGCGCGAATAAGCCTTCCCAGCTCAAGGTCGGGCGCGGGTACAAGGTCGTACGCACTCGCGACCACGACACACCGGAGCGGCGGCGGCGGCGCAGAGCAGCGCGTCGTATAATGGCGGCTGATCCCGGCCAGCGTGTGACTCAGACGCTGCTATGCTCGAGGTACCTCAAGGTACCGGACAGTGGGTATAGTTCTATCCAGTTAGGAGAGCGTAGTCGCGTCGCCGGAAAAGCACCAATAACTATGGGCCACGGCGCCGCCCACCACCGAGTGGAGTCAGCGGGGTGTGTGTTTTGTAGCCGGGGAAAGGTCCAAACGGCGTGTCGCTCGCAGAAACTGCAGCGTGCGTGAAAGCCGCACGACGGCCGGGCCGGAGGGACACCTGCCTGCAGCATAGCGGCCGCACGGGCGTCCTCAGTGAAGGCAAGGCTCGAGGCCAGGAAGAGCCCGGCGCAGCTCGGCGCAGGCAGGCGCAGCTGCTGCTGGTCAGTTCCTCGTGACCCGGATGTAAAGCGACGACCCGCGGCGCCACAGCTCGCGGAAACAGCGGCGGCGCGCGCGCGCGTCGCCGTCGCCCCGGAGAGGAGGGGCGGGGAGGGAGGGGGGGCTTGTGTAACATGCGCGCGGGGTGGCGTTTCAGGACGCGCGAGGCGGACGTCGGGACCAAATAGTCGAGAAATCAGAGCGGAGGACGCGACCGTCGATTCGCATACAACACAACACGCCGCTAGCTGCCATTGATCTCGATGCGTATCGAGATCTCGATGCGCGAGATGCCAGCCGCCCCCACGCGCGGGTCACAGCAGCAGCAGAGATGGCCGCGGGAGTTCTTACAGCGGGGTAGGAGAGAGACTTGACGAAGATAAGAGGAGGGAGGCGGGGGGAGAGTTGTGGAGGTGAATCAAAAGAGGACGAGCGGAGAGGGGTGGTGTAGAATCTCCCATGCATGTGTAAACACAACAACCCCTCCTCCTCCTCGTATGAATGAGGGCGGGGGCGCGAGGCTACACGGCGGCGCGGCGAGCAGAGCCTCGAGCGAGGCTAGCGGGGCCGGCCGTGAGTGGGGGGGAAAGCCAAAGCGGCGCGTATGTATGTACTGTAGTGTGCTGCCCCGCCCGCGACACTGCCCGGCATACTATTATATTCTTTCCGAAGCCTCTGTAATTTCCTATGTGCAGTAGTGAATAAGTATTATGGGTGTGCTCCCAGTTTGCGGACAGGGTTCAAGGTTCAGGTGCCACACTCTTACGCAGTTAAGGCACGCTTAAGGCGAACCTACACTCCCGTTGCGTACTCACAACTCACAGGGCAGGGATTACCTGTCCGCGACACACACACACACACACACACACACACACACACACACACACACACACACACACACACACAGGGGCTCATCTCCGCGGTCATAATGCGGATAATAATAAAAATCGATTGGAATCATTGACCTCAGATTAATTGTGCGTTCGGTGCGTCGGCAGCTCGGCAGAAAAGACGACTGGCCAGCGTGGCTTCGAGGACGACCATTGCGGCTGCGTGCGGAGCGGGGAACGTGGCGGCCCCTCTCCCTTCCCCTCTCTCCCTCTCCCCCCCTCTCCCTTCCCCCTCTCTCTGTCGCTCTCACACACTCACTCGCTCGCGGCTCCCTGTCCTACGCGGCCGAACCTCGCTCCGCGCCTCGGACGCGGCCCGCTCGCTGACGCAAGACGACCGACGCTTGCCCCACCTCTCTCCCCCGGCCCCTCTCGCCCCCTCTCGCCCCCGCTCTCCTCCCCCCGCCCTCTCTCTGTCTCTCTCCCCCACTGTTGTGGGCAGAGCGTGGCGCAGGGCGGGGTGGTGAGGCGGGAGAGGGAGCGACAAGAAGCATCGATACAGAGGGGAGGAGGAGAGAGAGGGAGACAGAGAGAGAGAGAGACCGCGAGAGAGAAGGGAAGTAGGGGAGACGCTGTGGTGACGTCAGGCCGACCTCGCCGACAGTCGCCGCTCCCGTCGCGGGGTCCCCCGCACCCTCCCCTCTCCCGCCCC